ATGGAAAGTTTTTCTTTCTCCTTTAATTATGGCAGATAGCTTTGCTGAGTTCAGTAGTAAAGGAAGGTTTGGTCTTTTCATGATGTCTCACACTTCCTGTATGTTCCTTTCCTGTATTTAATTTTTTTTTTTCGTATTCTTTACTTATTTGGTCTAGGCCCTTGTGCTGGGTGGTTTTGTGTGTCAACTTGACACAAGCTAGTGTCATCAGAGAGGAAGGAATCTCAGCTGAGGAAATGCCTCTTGGAGATCCAGGTGTAAGGCATTTTCTCATTTAGTAATCAATGGGGGAGGGCCCAGCCTATGGTGGGTAGTGCCATCCCTGGGCTGCTGGTCCTGGGTTCTATAAGAAGGTGGGCTGAGCAAGCCATGGGAAGTAAGCCAGTAGGAGCTTCCCTCCACAGCCTCTGCATCAGCTCCTGCCTCCAGGATCCTGCCCTGTTTGAGTTCCTGTCCTGACTTCCTTCAGTGATGAACAGCAATCCTGAAGTGTAAGCCAAATAAACTCTTTCCTCCCCAACTTGCCTTTTGGTCATGGTGTTTTGTTGTAGCAACAGAAACCCTAACTAAGACAGCCCTCTACTTTAAGTCCTGATGTTCTGTCTTCTGCTTGATTCATTATAACTCTGAGGCTTTCCCTGAGTTTTTAGTTGGGTTATTAGGTTCATAAATTCCATCTTCATTTCAGCTTGAGTTATGTTCAGTGTTTCTGTTTGTTGAACTCCATTGTCAAATTCTGGATTGTCTTCATCATTCCCATCAGCCTCATGTCTGCGTTTTCTTGGGATTCACTCAGGCATTAACTTCTTTTCAAATTCATTGACCTGTTTCTTTGTGTCTTTAAACTCCATGAATTCTTTGAAGTTTATGACTGTTATTTTAAATTCTGTGCCCTGGAGCTCAGCACATCTAGTTACTTCTCACTGGAGAACATTCCATAAGATTGGGGAAGTGGGGCAGGGGGTACTGCTTTCATACTTTTAAAACTTACTTTTATTTCACGTGCATTGGTTTTTACATGCATGTACATCTGAGGGAGAGTGCCCTGGACCTGGAATTATAGGCAGTTGTGAGCTGTCATGTGGGTGTTAGGATTTGAACCAGGGTCCTCTGGAAGAGAGCTCTTAACTGCTGAGCCATCTCTCCAGCCCCAATCTTTCTTATTTTTGTAATGAGATCTGGGTGTGTGGACTTCTTTCATTCTGATGTGGGAGCCCCAACCCCTGGCCCCTGAGATGGGCGTGCCCCACATGCAGACAATGGGGACACTGGAAGGTGTATCGTCTAGCGGGACTCCCTGTGCTCCCCCACCCACCTTGACACCACTTCCCACCATCTACTCATGGAATTAATAAAATGAGGAGGTCTGAGTTCAGCTTCCCTAGCCAGGGCAACTATGGTTCATCTGATGTCAGTGTTACAGGGAGGGTGGCCGGGAGATGAGTCTCTTTTGTCCTGAACACAGAGGCTTCCTTCCTTTTCTGTGTTAGCCGAATGGCAGGGAGACAAGTTCTCCTTCCTTTCTACAATTACCAGAGTGTCTGGGGTCCCATTATGACCCAGAAGCACCCCTCCACTCCCCTGTCAATTTGGGTTCTTATCTCTAACACACACATGTATAGTGATGGCAATTATCCCGTACCCTTCCTAGGATGGCACCTCCTCACCTAATTAAAAGTCTCTATTTACATACCCCTCTTAGAAATAACCTCCATCTTTTTCTTAATCACAGACTTGAACTTAGACATTGAACCATCTTCACCTAAAACCCCTTCTCATCCTGTGCTGCCCTCGGCTCACCCTAGGGTATGGGACACTGCTAATCCTTCCATAGCCTGCCATCACTCTTCATTCCTTGTCTCTCTGAAAGACCCTTCCTCCTACATAACACAAGAACAATACTCCATATTGCCAAATCCATGGATAGGCCAAACACCTCTCACTCATCACCTCCTCCCGGCAGGACTCCTAATTTCCACTCACCATATTACACTCCTATGGTATAGGTAAATAAAATCTAAAGAGTTCTTCTGCCTGGTTCAAGACCAGAAAATCAATGAGGCCACAGTCCCCAACCCCTCAATTCTCCTTTCACCCATCCCCCCAGCGCTGCCTGTTTTTCAGTTTTCAACTTAAGTCGCCTTTTCTTTACTATACCTCCGCACCCCCCTCTCCACTCCTCTGTTCACGCCTCAGTTTACCGTCAAGGAAGGATCCTGATACTCTAAACTCTCAACAACCTACTTGGACAGTAGCCTGTTCCGGGGACAAGCCCTGAAAAAGGACTTAGCATCCTTGACATTTCTCCTAGTTTCCTTGTGCAGTTTGTGGGTCACCTTCTCTCCTACAGCCCGAGTCTCTAGGACAAGCTCTGCCAATCCACAGTCTCAATGCTCTGGGTTCCGAGGGCTATTAGGTGTCCAAAAAGAAGGCATGGGTTGTGGTGATATTGTGTCCCCCAATATATTGTGCACCTTAATAAACTTATCTGGGGTCAGAGAACAGAACAGCCACTAGATAAACATAAGAGGCCAGAAAATGGTGGCACACACACCATTAATCCTAGCATTCTGGAGGCAGAGATCCATCCAGATCTCTGTGAGTTCAAAGCCACACTGGAAAAAGCCAAGCATGGTGACACATGCCTTTAATCCCAGGTAGTGATGGCAGGAAGCAGAAAGGTATATAAGGTATGAGGACCAGGAACTAGAGCCTGGTTAAGCTTTTAGACTTTTAGCAATAGTTCATTTAGATGAGGACACAGAGACTTCCAGTTTAAGGAAATGAGATCCGTTGAGAAGTTGGCAAAGTGATGTCAGCTGTGGTTTGTGTTCTGTCTCTCTGATCTTTCATCGTTCATCCCAATACCTGGCTCCCAGGTTTGTTTTTATTAATAAGACCCTTTAAGATTCATGTTACAATGGGTCTGTACCCCGACTGTTTGCTAACTAGGTCTGTTTCTTTCTCTCTGGTAAGAGCTGTTCACATGTACCTTACCAAGACAAAGAGAGACTCCATGGCTTTACTGGACCTTTAAATATGGAACCTCTCCTCTCCCCACAGTCTCACCAGAGCCTCTACCCTGAGATTCCTGGATGCCCTTAGACTTCCTTTCTTTTCCTTTCCTCCAATCAAGGACAAGTGCCAGCAGTTCCTCAAAGGCAGGAGATACTTATTCTCCTGAAGGTTATTTGTTGAAGCAAATGGATACGGTCCCAAGAGGATGGACCTCATGCTTACAAGACCTGGCTGTCGCTGTGCTTCTAAGTCCAGAAGCTAACAAAATTCTGTCCCACAAATCTGCTTTATACACTAACTTTACACTCACTCAGGGATCTCTGAAGTCACTGGGCCGTCCTCTCCTGACCCTCATTTTAGGAGTAGATCCTCCATACCTTTCTTCTGGACCCCACCCTCTCACCTTTGAACCCTTCCCTGCACTACCCCCTCCCCATCCCCCACCCCCACCCCCTATTACTTCCCCAGCCACTGACTCATATCTCCCCTCTCATTTCTGCTCTGAGATCCTGGATCTTATCGTGAATCCTTTTGCACACATCCTTAATTATCCCTCCCCACAGACCACGACTGGTTCATAGATGGCAGTTCCAACACTGCCCTCCCACACAGCCAAATATGCCATTATCCAAGGATACCCCACTCCCCTACCCCACACACTCTCGTCGAGGTCAAGTCCCTTCCTCCCCATACCACCTTGCCACAGGCAGAACTGACAGCAGCCCTCTCAAGGGCCTCGCCCTGGCCAAAGACAAACAGGTGAACATCTACACTGACTCCAAGTATGCCTGTAACACTATCCACTCCAACATCCTAACCTGGAGACAGAGGGAATTCCTAACACAAAGAGGGACGCCCACTGCCACTGCCACCCGTATACAGAAATCTCTAATCTGTTGTGGCAAAGAGAAGCCATTACTTCCTCAACTATCATTCAACTCTTCCTGACCGAGGACTACCAACAGAGAAGTCTTGGAACCAGATGAGCATGAAGATCCTTGAGTAGCTATTTGCTTCTTCAACAAGGTTCTGTTAGGTTTTGGGGTTTTTTTTGTTGGGGGGCGGGGGACAGGTTCGAGACAGGGATCCTCTGTGTAACCCTGGCTGTCATGGAACTCTCTGTAGGCCAGGATGGCCTCGAACTCAGAGATCCGTCTGCCTCTGCCATGCTGGAATTAAAGGTGTGTGCCACCACTGCCCAGCTATCAAGGGACTCTTAAGACAAAGATCTCTACTTGTTGACTAAATAGTTTTTCAGTTGCAATTTATTTTGTAAAGAAAGGGAATGAAACGTTTTATGAGTAGCAATCACCTTATGTTATGACTTTCTTTTATCTAATTTTTTAACTTTCTTGACGAAGGGAACTCAACCCGAGACCCTGCACAGGCAAGACGCCTTTGAGAGCTCCCTATAGTAATTCATCAGCGCTCCCCAACCTTTTAACTACAAGTCCCAGAGAACAACGCGCTACTTTCCTTCTAAACTAAGGGCGGGAACTGGAACTGGCCGAATGTTAAAAAATGTAATTTTAAGCCGGACGGTGGTGGCACACGCCTTTAATCCCAGCACTCGGGAGGCAGAG